TATTATAAATGTTTAATTATAAATAAATTGTTCAATTTTCTTTTGTATATTTTTTTAAATTTGATATTTTTAATAAAAATTATTTTTAAATTATTACAAGATGTATGGACTGTCCATGGTTCTAATATTATAAATTAGCACCGGAGGAAAAATGAAATAAGTCAATTTTAATTAAACTTGCGAAATGTTTAATTAAACTATGTTTATCTTTTATTTATTCTTTATTTTCTAGCATAAATAAATATTTGAGACAACAAATTTGTGAATAATTTATATACATTGCTCCACACTTCAACATATCTTATAATCCATTAAAGGTGAAGAAAATAATTTCTTAACGAGGAGAAAGGAAACATAGAAATAGCATTTCGTAACCTTTTTCCATTTAAAAATTCTTGATTTTATCAATATATGAGCAGCAAGAAAATGAATAAATCGTTCAAATTCTCAGATAAAAGATGTTTGTTTTAGAGAAAAATTGCGTGAATCATTTTTCATTTTTTTTAATCTAAACAAGTAAAATTCGTTTGAAGAAATGTATTTTTTCCCTCCTTCTTTTTCTTTTTAACAGCGTTTATATACAATAAAAAAATATATTTATGTTTTAAAGAAAATAAACTATGAATTTTGTAAAGATTTTAGTTTACAATTTTATAAAAACATTTTTAATGTTTTCAAACTTTTTTAACTAAGCTTCATATATATATATACATATATGGTGTAAAATTAATTTTAAAAATAAAAGATTTACAAGTATACAATCAAAAGTTGTATAACATCTTCCATATTTAAAATTTTACATCTACGAGTCAAAAATTCTATTAATTTTTTAATACTTAACTTTTTTAAACTGTAAAAAATATTATATAACTTTATAGGAAGTCATATCTTTAATGTATCTAGAAATTGCATGGCTGCAAAATATTTTATTTTTGTTATATTGTTTGCCATCTTTTTATTGAAACAGGTTTTTCTCATCTTTATATTGATAGTTATGGCAGACTTTTGTCATTTAATAGAGCAGAACTAGACTGTTTTTCTGTAAATATCTTGTGGATAAGGAAACTAAAAATAGAATAAAAGATTCTATATATCTATTTATATATGCATATATATATATATTGGTTTTCTTTAGTTTTAAATTTTATTATGGTATGACGAAGCTGAGAAAATATTTCAAAACACGTTCATCAATTCGTGTGTTATACAATTGCTATTTATCTTAGTTTATTCGCTACTTTGACTTATTTCGCTTCGATACATCTAATCATTTGTAATGTTTAGAAAATTTAACTATCTCATTTTAAAATTCCAAAAGAGGAGAATAAATGTGTTGCTTAATTTAAAAATTGAGAAAAATCTGTTTGCGAGAGTGTAAACTTAATGAAAATTACATAAATATCAATTCATCGAAGGAGAATTTCATTTAAAAAAATTAATAAAATCTGACAAATAAATTTCAACAAAAAGAATACTGATTTAAA